TCGGAATTGAATTATGGTATCAGATAAAATTATACATTGGGAAAAAATGAAAACTTTCTATGATTCATTGAATATATCATAAATTATTATCTTTACCAATTTGTACCAGCTAATTGTATCTATTTATTTACTCATGATCATGCATTTTTAAATTTTTAGATTTTTAAATAAAGACTCCACCATTGCAGGCTGAACATAAAGAAACTTTAGAGATTCTAAACAGAGAAAAGCGTTTCTTCTACCCTTTCCACACAATAAATGAAGTGGACAATATTTCAAGCTTTGAAAATTTTGTGAATTAAATAACAAACAGTGATACTTTTTTATTAAAATTGCTTTTTAAGCTTTTACAGGCTGCTAAAATGGCTAACAATTGAAAGTAAATTCAGTTAGTTTAAATCAGTAAATTAACATTTCAACATATTATATTTGTGAATACAAGTACATTTTAATTCATGCATATAATTACTTTAATTATTACACTGAAGCTCTTAAAATCCTTACCCAGACTTTTTCAAAAAGACATTATTCAGCAAAGTGCTATTACATGTTACCTCTAAGTGTTTGATTTCTAGATGTGTTTAAAGAGATTTAGTAAGAGATTTATTAAAGGTTTATAAAGTTAGGTTTGACAAATATTTTCTTTTATTTGGGGGGGGATTGCACTTAACAGAGGGAATTTTAATTTAAACTATGAAAAATGTCAATCACTGATATTTTCTTGGGCCTAAATACCATCTCAGTACTAATAGAGAAAAAGCACACATAGTAAGTTCTTAAAAATAATAACTGTATTTGATTAGCTTCCATTATATAAAAGTAAAAATATTTATAAATATACCTAAATTAGTATATAATGCATATTAAAAATTTTTTATTAAAATAGCTTTTGGCAGCATATGTAAAATATTTTATACCATTAGGTGTTATAAAATATTTTACACTATTAGATGAATAGCTTTGATGTAGAATGTAAGATACTAATTTAATTTATATACTTTATATATATATAGAGAGAGAGACTACATTATTATGGATTAAATGACTAAATCATTTAATGACATGAAGCTTAATTTATTTTAAAATGGGTTGAAATACATCATATGTAGAATTTTAAAAATAACTTCTTCCTAGTCTCCATTTGATTTGTAAAAAAGTGATAAACTAAGTAATTTTAAAATGACTTATGAGAATTTTGAATTAATATTTACTGAGCTCAAACCCACACTTGAGTCAGTTTATCATCGATATTTAAGGAAAATTCAATTCCTCTAGAAAATAATCTGGCTGTAACTGCACACAGAAGAAAGGACCAGACCAGTCACCATTGTTTTGATCCCCTCATGGAAATTCTTGCCATTTTATCTGCCTTCCTTAGTTTCTGAATCCTTGGAGAAATAAATTAGAGGTAGAAGTGGTATGAGGAATAAAAATGAGCCTAATTATTGCAGTGACAGTAGTAAAGATTTTTAAATATTAAGGATAATAGAGTACTTTATTCCTAAACCTTTTCCTCCTCAAATTTTCTCTAATAGTTCAGATTAGAAGAATTGTGGAACTTCACCAGTTTTCTTTCTTCTTTCCTACCCCTATCACAACTTTGTCATCAAATACTCTTACTCTTTTTATTATTTTGCTTTATTTCCAGTTTAGAGAAGAAGAAATACTTTGGATAAGAATCACAGTTACACTGTCATGCTTAGTAAGACCTAAATGAAATCACATCTCAAGTGCCTTATTAATCATCCGAGTTAGAAAATTTTGGGACAAGTGATAATCGCAGTTCTCATAACACAAAATCCATGTGTGTACACATACATAAACTGTTAAATGAGAAACAGAAAGATTTGATTGTGTTTGTAATTATTCACAAGATAGACAAAAGAAATGTTTTACCAAGGAAGTTTATAGTATAAAGAAAAGTAATGTGGATTTAGGATGTCCATTCGGATCGGTAGCGATTACTGGTCACTTTAAGGCTAAGAAACAAGCATTTAAAACGAATCCCCCCTGATCACTCACACCCTGATAAGTCATAGTGGAATTAGGCATTTCTATAATTTCTGGACTGCCACATTAAGTTATGTGCATGCAAAATCAGGTTGTTTAGAGCTCATGTACCAACAGCCTCAGGGGACTGAAAGTAATTGCTCTATTTAGAAGGTGGAATGCAGTTTTGGGTCTTCTATTCCTACTGCATTAGGACCAGGACTGTACCAACTTGCTATAATTTAAAGCCATTATTGAAATCCTCATAGCATGAGATAATTCCTTTCACATCTTTGAAAGCCTTGATACAAAGCGGCTTATATCCCAGGATTTTCTCCACAATGACATAGTTGTTCACATAATGTGTAGCCCAGAAAATATGTTCCATTATTATTGAATGCTTATTGAGTAGCTATAATGGCCAATTTTTGGCATATATTCAATATGAGCACAGCTGAGGAGGACCATCAAATTTGATGAAAAGACAAAATCAACCTCATCTGGTGGTAGTTTGAAATGCATCATAACAGCTTCTCTCTTTAATGAAAGAGAACTTGATTATATCACACAAAGAATTTTACCAAAAAGACCTCCACTCTAATGTTATGGACTTGGGTAGAGCAGACAGACCACAGAATAGTTCTGTTAATACTATGTTATCAGATTTGAATCACATATCAGTCAGGACTCCAATGAGAACCAGATGATATACTCAAAGAGATAATTTGAGGCGCACTCACATGGGATTCAATTGCAAATATATCAAGTTTGTAGAACAGAAGAAGCCCAGTAATACAGCATAATAGCATCTAAGTTTTTACCACTCCTAGGACAAGGGAACAAGGGAAGCACAGAGTTCTTGGGTCTCTGAAGCAGATAGTTTTGTAGACTCCTCTGTGGTCTTCAGTGGAAGGACACGTTCAGCTCACTGCAAATGCTTAGTGGGGGAAGCCCAGAGCAAAAAATACCCTGACCTTCTCCCTTCCTTTAATCTCCTGCTGGCCTTTCTAAACCCAACAGAAGCCAGGGGACGTGGATGAATTTTTTTTTAAGTTTATTTATTTATTTTGAGAGAGATAGTGTGCAGGAGGGGCAGAGAGAGAGAGAGAGAGAGAGGAAGAATCCCAAGCAGGATCTGCACTGTCAGTGCAGAGCCCCATACAGTGCTCAAACTCATTAACCGTGAGATCATTACCTGAGCCGAAATCAAGAGTCAGATGCTTAACTGACTGAGCCACCCAGGCACCACCCAGGTACACCTAATATGTTCCACAAAGGTGAGTCTTCTAGGGCAGCAAACAAGATGAGGCAAAGTAGAGAGAGGACATAGGAGAACACACAATAAGGAAAGTATTAAAATAAAACAGAACCCCAAAAAAACACTTTTTTTTTCAGAATGCAAAATGAAACACATTGCCTTCTAAAATTTGGAAAATAAGTAAAGTACATATTGGTGCAGACATCCCTTTTTAGCAGTTACTCCTCTCCCTGTTGAAAGTAGGAAAACAATAGCAAAAACAATAATAAGAGCAAAAGCAAAAAAAAAAAAAAAAAGCAAATGAAAGTCTTTAAGCACACTTTAAAAGTGTAGAAATTAGGACGGTCTTCGGGGTTGGTTTGATTTTGTGACTCAAATGATGACACTAAAGACACAATTTCTCTTTGTTTCTCTGCTTGCCCCATAGTGTCAATGTTAGCATAAAGTTGACACTTCATGGTGGCAAAATGGCTGCAACACTTCCAGGTTTCACACTTGTGTACCCCAACATGTGGAAGAAAAATGCAAAGAGAAATCTGTCCACTGCCATTTTTTTTTTCACCCACAGCTTCCAGAAAATTTCCACCTATATCTATGTGGTCTGAATTGAATCACTTGAACCAATATCTGTAGTTAAAGGAAGGAGAACCATATGCAGATTAGTTTGGGAAGAGGTTATTGAAAGCCATAATACTGACAGAGAAACAAGATTTCCATTCCTCAAACTGATGGCCAACTCAGCATCACTTCCAAGGGCATATGGCAGGACACCTAGGAATAGGCAGAATTAATGTTGTGGAGACAGTATCAATACGTAGTATTGCTCCCTTTATTCTCCACAACCCCTTTAACACATGAAGAAATAGGCCTAAACAGATTAAACAGTAACATTTCCTGATGGCATTTAGTTATTAAATAATGGGGCTGGATTTATGTTTTTAATTTTCCAGTTCAAAAGCGTACATTTTCCAACCATTAAAAATTGCTATAAGAAGTAATTATTTGGTATATAAAGTATCCCATAGTCTTCTGAGTAAGGGTTTGTAAAATATAAAGTAAGGGGATCAAAAGCATAGATAGAATGGATAATTGCAGTAAACCCACTTTAAGAAAGCATTTTTTTAAATATAAGCTCTAATTAATCAATTTTATAATAGATTAAGGACTAAGGTTCACTGACATATTTTTGGAAACAAAATTTCGAACCATCAGAGCAACTCAGAGCAAGAACTACTACTGTTCAGGGGCACCTGAATGTCTCAGTCAGTTGGGTGTCCACCTCTTAATTTTGGCTCAGGTCATGATCCCAAGGCTATGGGATCAAGCCCCATGATGGGCTCCACGCTGAGCATGGAGCCTGCTTAAGATTCCGTCTCTTCCTCCCTTTGCTCCTCTCCCCTACTCGGGATCTTTCTCTCTCTAAAAAAAAAAAAAAGCAAAAAACTACTACTATTCAGTTAGTAGAACATATATAAATTACAGACAGGAAGGAGTACTTATGGTGCAACTATCATTTGTATGGGTGAAATACTAAGTTTTAATATATACCTAAATATACATATATATTTTTGATCTCCTGAACTATATTGCCTAATTTATCATTATCCTAATTTTTCTCTATGTTTTTGTTTGTGCCTTTGAATGTTTATTCCTGGTAGATAGTTGTTTTATATTTAATCAAATCTACAAAATATGTAACTCTGAAGATGTTTAAATGTGTCTTTTTTCTATTTATGTCCTGATATCCTATTAGGCCAAATTAGGAATCTAAGTGCTCCTTCTTACCATCTCCTCTAAGCCTTCTGAACTAGGTAAGTATAAAGTGCTAAGCAAAACACACGCGCGCGCACACACACACACACACCAAACAGACCAAAAAACCCCAACTCTCATTCCTTAAGGACAGTGTTACTTCTGCAAAAAGCAAAGAGATCAAAGAAAAAGTTAGAAGTAAAATGTCAGATCTTATAGTTTCAGAAACAGTTTCTCTCACACCAAGACAAATTTTATCCTTTGTAATACACTGCATGCCTCTAAATAAAGTTCAAAAAACATCATATAGATGAAATGTTTGATTCAATATCATGTCCCCTGGGAATTAATAAGGGTTTACAACATACTTCTAATCCCTAGACATTGGACACAATTGGGCTTACTGCTGAAGTATAAGTGAATAAAATATTTGGGAAACAAGAAGCACAATGTACTAGTACAATGTTAGATCTCATTGTAGGTGCCAATTAGACTTTTTCTTTGATTTTAATTTATTTTTATATAAATTGGTACAAAGTTTTATAACATAGCAGTGTAATTCCTGCCCTTTCCAGGAGTAGAGAAAAGCAATTGGTGTTTAGATTTGAAAGTTGTGGTATTGTGGGATAAAATATAGGGAAGAAGCATGTTGTGATGCTCCCCCTAACGCTGCTTATTATGGCCGTGTCGTAGAGACAAAACACTTCTTTTATTAATATTTCACTTCCAGGAGATCCCTAATAACTATCAGAGAGGCATTTTAGCTATCTGTTGATATACTGACACTAAATCTGGTATTATATATAGCTGGACACTACCAAGGAATCTATAAAATTATGTGATATATGGAGAATACAATTTAAACATCAGGTTAATCATATATTCATATTTACTACATGTAGAATATACACTACCTTTTGATAATTCCTTCCTGGGTAAGCAAAATATAGTATGTTCACACACATGTTCAGTTATGTGACACTACATGGGCTGGATTTATCCCCTCTTGGGATGAAAGTCTTTTTGGGCTGTTGAGATGGTTCACAGCTTCTGCCTCCTCATGAGCTCTTTATTTAGGCCAATAGTGAAGAATCTGTGGAGAACCAATGCACTCTGTGAGACAGGGATGTGGGAAGCATTGGCAGAGTCAATATCATGGCTAAATTTCTTTTAAAGCCTTTGATTTGGTTGGCAGTGCATCCCCTATGAAGTTGACATTTGTGTTGCCTTCAGAGCATGCTGAAGTTGGCTTTCTTCATAAAGGCCATATTCCTGCCAAGGAACAGAGAGGGCCCCAAAGCTGTGTTGTACAGACAGCTGTGGGGAAAACACAAAGGCATTAATTAAGAATGTAAGTAAGTATGGTCTGGCTCAGAGCTTTAAAAGTAGGTGGAAATAGCTCTCTGGGGTAGCAAAATGCCAGATATATTTTGTCCTCAGGTCACTTTAGGGCTCCCAGTGCCTTCTCAGAAACCTGCTGTCCTTTATTTCAGTGGGAGTATCTTTTAGCAACACACTTTTTTGTTGATGTTAAAAGAAGGGACCAAAATTCCCTGACCTAAACTGGGAAGCGCGATTAGTTTAAGCCTTTTGTATTTATTTGCATAACTAAACTGAGGTTGGAGAGACAGTAAATTAACATTTGTTAAACAACTATTGTCCCAAGTTGACAAAAGGTTAAGTATTTAATTCAGAGGAAGTGCTTGAGGAAAAGATCAGAAAATTAATTATAACTCACCCATATTTATCCCTAGGAGATAGAACAGAAAAATAATCGACAGAGGTAAATAGATGAGCTAATGAAAATTATATAAAACAATATTTATAATTTAAATAATACTTGTCTTGCCAGAATATAGTAAATTGTAATTTAGGTTTCCCCTCATCTGCCCTGGCATATATCTGTTTTTCCAAAGCCCCTCAATATATATGTATATATCTTCATTTCCATTTGCTTTCAGAAAAGATTAAAATACACAAGTTTACAGGTGTTTTATTGATTGTAATTTAGTTCAACTCCATCCTCAGGCTATAAAAGGAGGTATGATATGCTCACCAGTAAGCTGTCTTTCAATGATTTTCAGGATGGATTATTGTTAGGATTGTTTATCATAGACAAATCCACTTCAGACTTAGAGCTAGGTGTTAAAGTGTATCTCAGAGGGTCAATTTTCTAAGCTTCTTTCCCAAACCAAATGTTTTAAATTCCTTCTTGCTTTAAATCTTAGCCTTTGTTTTACTTTTGTACTTGTAAACTAGGTTTCTCTCAATTGATTATAAGTATTATTTAATAATTTATTTTAATTAAAAAACAACTGTAAGAAGATAAATGATCTAAATGTAAGAAAATGAAGCTCCTATTTAACCTGATCTCTTAGCAAATTAATATTGGTGAAATCATAGCAAATATATTTAACATATATTTGAGAGACCCTGCTCTGCATGGTAAATTGTTTTGCTTGAAAATAACGTGGTATGGAAGACATTTTTTTCAATGATTTTTTTAGGAGCTTGAAACAAAAGTCAAGTTATGAGTTTGTTTATATAACATTTGGGACAGTTTTTTCAGTACATATAGAAAGATTTTCAGAGTTGAAATATATTTAGGTACCATGTTCATTCATATTCTTGTCTTTTTATTTTGATAGCTCATTTTAATAAAGTTCACTATTTCTCAGGAAATGTTACCATTTGATATGAGTTGGAGTTCTTTGTACATTACTACATTTTAAATGCTTATTTTATTTGTTTTGAGAGAAAGAGACAGAATATGAGCATGGGAAGGGGCAGAAAGAGAAGGAGAGAGAATCTCAAGCAGGTTCTGTGCTGTCAGCAGAGAGCCTAATACGCGGGGCTGGATCTCACCAATGATGAGATCATGACCTGAGCTGAAATCAAGAGCTGGACACTCATTCAACTGAGCCACCCAGGCACCCCTACATTACTATATTTTTAGACACTGCAATACAATAGGGGGTGCCCTGGTGTCATTTCTCATTCTAGTCCCCAGTATATCTCAAATTCTTACATATCTTCGATTGTCGAATATACATGGATAACTCACAAAGTCCTATTTTTTACTCAGCTCTCTCTCCTAAGTTCCAGACTATAGCTTCTTAGTGGAAATGTTCACTTGAATGTCTTCTAGATAACATTAAATTTGTCCAGAACTAAATTGCCCTCATTCCCCCTCCTCTGTATTCCTCACTTCAGCGAATGGTATCATGTTTCACTCAGTTCTAAGACCAGGAACCTGAGAGCTATTGTTGACTTCTTCTACTTTCTTGCCCTATTCGTAATTGATCATGGAGTCCTGTTGATTGTACCTCGTAGACCATCATAATTAAAATAGTCTCTTACTAGATTCCCTGGCTGCCATTTTGGCTTTCTCTAATTCACTCATTGAATGGTGCCAGTATGATCTTCCTGAAATTAAACTATGGTCATGACACTTTGTTGTCTCAAATTCCCCAGACTGCCTAAAATTACATGTATATTCACGCGATACTATGAGACCTTTCATCACTTAACCAGTGGTTTTGTCTTTACACTGTTCTCTGGGCATTACCCTTCCTTTTGTCAAACTGTAGCCATAGGGAACTCATTCAGCTCTTCAGCTGTGTCAGCTCTGTCTCACTGCAGTGTCTTTCAACAGGCAATCCCCATGTGTGCCCAGAATATTTTTCACCCTCCTCTCCCTTCCTTCCCATTCACTGGCTTATGTTAAATACCTGTCTCAGTCTGTGTGTCAGTTCCTCTGGAAGACTTACTATGGCCCCTCCTAACGTCTTCAGGTTGAGGTAGAGCTCCCTTTAATGTGCTCCCACTGCACATTGCATTCTTCTCAATACCCATCATATTTTACTTAAACTATTTCTTCAGTTGCTTATAAATTTAATTATTATAGGTTTCTCTCACTAGATTATAATCTTCATTCAAAACTTTGTCAATCTCTTTTTAAATATTATGTCTCCTTTGCTTAGGACAATGATCACGTAGACGTGCTTAGTGAATATTTATTGACTATATGAATGGTTGAATATTGGAATAGTGAATCTTGCTGAATATAATTGATAAACAGTTTTGCTAGAAACTATTTATGTATCCTGATACTTGCTTCCTTCTCATTTCTAAACAAAGTCTAATGAATTAAAATCAATTCAGAAACATTACATTTAAATATAATATTTAAATAGCATCATTTTGATATTATGTTTAGAAATATATGTAGGACCTAGCTGCAAACTTATTACACAAATACTAATAGATATCTTGTTAAATTGACCAAATAACATTATTTAAGTTCATTTATAATTGAAAATTAGCTAAGTATAGTGACATAGTCTTTTCTTTTTTAAAATTAGAGCATATGGTTCAGTGTCTTACATTTATCCCAAACATGATCATTTTTTTCATATCAAGTTTTCTTTGGGTGGGACAGTATTACCGTTTACAACATCCAAAGCAAAGAAAGAAATTAGCCAATTGGCTATTTTTCACAAACCTCCAATTATTACTCTGTTTTGCTTTTGTTAAAAACATTTTCTCTCTGATGAATTTGTTCAGCATAACAATTTTATATGGGATAATACAAGCGTATCACCTACGTTACTTATTTTCCTTTTACAGATAAAAGAACAACTTTTATTTGGGGGAGATATCCAATTCTAACTTTGAAAAGGACTAATCTCTGTTCACAAAATTAGTTCCAAGAAGACAGTGACAGCTTGAAAAATTGCTGTGGGAATTGTCTGAAAGGAATTAGTTTTGGGGAGTATAGGCATGTGTGTGTTAGAAAATTATAGACAAGCTTTCACAATTTAACATTTTGCACATGTATAATGATATTTTCACCAAAGAACTTTTTCATCTTCCCCAAGGAACTAACGCATTAATTATCAAGACCCTTATAGAATGGAACCATAAACAACTAGTATAAAATTTAACTGGCGGTATGATGATATTTATTTTTATCATGATGCTAATAAGAAAGTACATACAAAGAATAATGCAGGGTACTGTAATAATCTTGGCATTATGAAATCCCAAACTCCAATTA